TCAAGGTTTCTATTGTGCATCATTTGTTTCCAGAATTTTCTAAACCACCACCTTTTCTTTTTTCTTTGTTTAGTTTTTCCTTCATTTTCACCCTCCCTACCTTTTTCATTGATGCAGGAACATACATTCTTAGCTGAAAAGTTTATTATGTTGCAATGCTAAAGGAGTTTTTTGAGTAAAAATGAAAGAAAAGTACAAAAAGTCGAGGTGGAGTGTAATGGTGGACTTTTAATAATCCAATCAACCGAATTATGAATTTGATAGGGTTTTTTTTACGTTAGAATAAGGGAGATGTGGTGATTGATACTTAGTTATGACCGCTCTTTTCAGAACTTCTCGTATCTCTTTTTGGGTAACTAGGGATCTTCTTGATATCTATCTAGTTTTGTAAACGTGTTCCGAATTGGCTCTCTGAAAGCAACTCTTGGACGCTGATCAAAACAACCTATTTATTTTCCAACTCTTCAAGAAAAAATCTTTTCTACTAACCTCCTCATCATTTCTAAGGTTATTCTTGAGATAGCAGGCTGGAAGTACGTATGCTCAGCATCAATCATAAGGCGAACATTTTTGCTAATGGCGTAGTCAGCAATTGCAAGCAGGCGGCGGACCATGTTCCCGAACTAAAAGTCCCAAAGTTTGCTAATAGCAACCAAAGTGTGATTCTTACCTCTTTTTCCTCAGTCTCCGTCAGATTTTGGATTAGAGGTTCCATAGCTCCTGTCTTCAAGTCAAGTACCTGGCGTAACAAACAATACATATTCGGAAAATTTACATTATTTCCAATCTTAGAATGAAATTCTTCAAACCTGAAACATACTCCCAAGTTTTGTGTTATCGTCGAGTAGTTTATCCCAGCCATGAAAATCTACGTAGCCATCGCTATCGAAATCGACGCTTTTGAACCAGTCACGAATAGCTTCTGAATCCGTTTTCACACCGAAGTCCTAAGCGACTCTTATAGCTCTAGCTCTTCTATAGCTAATGGATTGTCATTTACCTGCAATTTTTGCGTCAATTCCTTTTCGCTAAGTCGCGAAAATTGGATTTTGTCCATTCCTGTGAGTGTTTTAAAGAAATTGTGAGCTTGTTCAATGCATTCTGGAAGTAGTACATTAAGCAATTATTAAGTACCTGATCAAAAAGAGCGGCTGTTTTACATCTTGAGGTCTTGTAGTTTTGACGGTTTTATCAATCTTTCCTACAAAGTGAATGGTTATTTTTGGCTATTTTTTACTAAACTAATCTTCAATTGTAAATTTTAAAAAAAGACGTTTTGTATAAAATACGCTAATCAGCCTCGATCGTTTTGAGCAGCGTACCAGATAAGTATGAAATTCAAATTTACTTCCACTTTTCGTTAAACGATCATTTCTTCCTTGCCTTGACGACAGTCAAAATCTTTAAGCCGTTTTATATGGAGATTAAAAAGCTTAGATAAAGAGTGTTTTAACTGCCAATTTTTGGCATTTAGATATATGTGTGTGATAGCAGGATCAGCAGTCATTAATTCTTCTCTACTTAAACTATTCACAGGGCTCTTCAGAATTTTTCGTCCTTCCCTATAAACTTTCTCTCTCCTTCCCTTCCCGCTCCCTCTCTTCGCCGAATTTTTGTTACCTCAACTCCTGCAAGATATCATGCATCATTTGGCACCTACGACAATTCACAAGATTTCTCCCCTTTGCATGCTGACAAGAGAATGCTTTTAGCAGTGGCCATCCGAGAGATTTATGCCAAAAAAGTCTTCAGGAAAGTGCGGTTCAACCAGTATGGTGTGAGGAAATGAGTGTCTTGACATTTACTTTTTTGCATGTTCATCAAATATCGTCCATAGACAGTTTGGCAGATATGAAAGGGAAAAAAACGTTCTCAACTTTTTTTGGTGTACACCTCGTTATGTGTGGTCAGCTCAAATAAGGAACAGTTCCAGGCTAGTGAAAAAAATGTTTGCTTTCCCCTTTTTTTACTTTCAACCCAAATTGTGGAGAGCTAGAAACAATAGAGGAAAAGTGGAAGTAGTTAACATTACCTGACAGCTTCAGCAGAAGTGCTGGCCTGCCGAGAGCTGTAGCTTTGACGGCAGCAAAGCCTTCACCACGAGTGGCTGTGGCAACAGCATCAACTGTTTCCATGAAAATGTCACGATTGCGATCACATACCTCTTCACCTTCGTAGAA